ACAGGGGAAATTACGAATATATCAAAACTTTATAAATCGATTGGAATAATCACAAAGTGAAAGGCATGCCGCTGGCATTTCAAAATTTAAATGAAGTTTCATTGGTTTCTTTTGTTTCAGCTTCCTGGCATCACTTTCATCTGATTTCAAAATCTTGTTTTGATATTTGAATAGTCTTTAAATAGTGTGTACTCATCATGAAAACATCAAGGAATATTTCAGAGGACGAGGCACTTGCAGAAGAAATACGAAAGTAGCCGTACGTTTACAAAAAACCTGAAGAAGGTTACCAAGAAAATATCTTGTCAGAAATGCATGGAGAGCAGGCGGGCCTATATCAAACAGGATCAAAATTAAAGCTTTCGTTACTGTATGGCTAACGTTTCTGGGCCTACAAGGAGAACAACCCCCTTCTACTGGTTTACGGTACATCTGTTTACTAAGAAGAAAGTGCCGTCTTGAAAACTGTCTACCAGTTGTCAATTTTGCAGCGCAGCAGCTCAAATTTCACTACTTCAAGTTTATGCATAAATTAACACCCAGACTGGTTGTCTGTACGATTGTTGTAACACTGTTCAACCAAAAACAATGCCCCGACGGCGTTTTGAAGATAAACAAAACAAAATTTCAAAACAAAAGGTCAAAGCGTCTAGGAGCTATTTTTGTTTTTAAAATTCTGTGATGTGCACTAAAAAGAAGCTGAGATAATTGCTAATTTGCGTAACAATTCACTCAGTAAGAAGTTTGCTAATGCCCATAAGTAAAATGGATGTAACAGTTCCAAATTTAAATGTATTATCGTTTTGTAAAAAGTTAAATATAGTGCATAACATGGAGATCCCGTCATTTCTTTTTTTCACCATGTATGTATGTACAGCCTTGTTAAATCTTGCTAACCATTCAAAAGAGAGAATGTTTGCACCTGTCATCTATATTTTAAAATCGTCTTTTGAGTATGTTCCACTATTCACAATTCCACAAAATTTTAACAGTCTATAGCCAAGACTGTTTGGATAATAAAAAGCAAAAAACAAAATTCACTCCCACGTGCCCACAAATCTGCATCTCTACCTTAAAATTATAAATTCGAACATGAAAAGTGAAAACAAACCTTTCTTTCGTAGAAAAATATCGAAGAGCGTGAGCTGCTGTGGTTTGCGTTTGTTGGTGAGTCACGTGTTAGGTTGGCATGGCAGCCACGCACGGTCGGGCGTGATGATCGGATTGCGACGCTGCGAATTTCTGGACTTTTTTCTCCCAAGCAAGTTAGTTACGAGCACTTTGTGTAATTGTAACATTACCGCCTTGGAGTTAATTTTGGCGTTTCACTAAATTGAAAATTGCTGATTTTTTTGTTGGTTGTTAAAAATAGGGGGGTCGCGGCCCCC